AGTGGCGCGTATTTGAGGAGGAGGTTGAGGTTAGGTGGGCTGGCCGCGGGCGGCGCGTGGGCCGTGCGATCGGATCGCGGGCTCGGCCGGAGCCGCCCACGTGGCCCCGCGATCGGCGCCGTCTCGCGGGAGTCAGGCGAGTGTACAGACCACCCCTCGATGTGGCCGGATTTACCCGGCCCTGCCACCGTTCGTGTTTGACTGAGAGCATGTGTGCATTCACCGACCGAGTCCTGCTAATTTTCTTTATCTCACGATGAAAGGATCGGCAGCAAGTGTGCACATTCTCAACGGCTTAGTCACGTGCTGGCAGCAGGCTTCGAGGCAATGAGACTCGAGTGGCGAGAAAACAAAGGAGAAAGTGCTGGTTGCCGGGTAAACGCACACACGGAAAGGACCATTTCGTTCGAAAACCGGCTGAGTACGAACCTGGGTATATATGCTTGATAACACCGGCTGAGTACGACTGAACCTGGGTACGACCCAGGTTCAGTCGTACTCAGCCGGTTTTCGAACGAAATGGTCCTTTCCGTGTGTGCGTTTACCCGGCAACCAGCACTTTCTCCTTTCAGTTGTTCACTCGACCGGACCAGGTTCCCGTTTGAACCGGCAAATTGATGGCCGCGTCGTAGCCTCAGGATACGCTACGGTGCACGTGTCATGGTCCGTTGCAGGGCATAGCGTCGTGTGCGCTGCGTGGGAACGTGCTCTCTCGTACTACGTGTGGGTCTTTGTCGGCTGGCTATGGCTAGTAGGCAGTCTCGTTTGGATCGGCATGGCACCAAAAGTCTGAGCTTCCACCGGCTAGGCCAGGCTAACGAACTCGTGCTGCGCTCGCGCGGGATGCACATTTGACCGGCCGTCCGTCGGTGCGTGCGCGGCCAGCGCGGCTGACGGGCGACCAAGTTGGTCCGTCGGATCCATCCGCACCGCACCGCACGCGCACGTCCCGACGTGGCCTTCCGGTGGGCCGATCGTGGATCCATCCTGGCGTTGGTGCGCGTTCGGCCTGGCCTGGCCTCTTCACCGCCCAAAATTGTACGTAGTTTTCTTTTTCTCTTCTCTGATGTTGTCTCTGCTTCACGCTACACTTCGTAAAGTCTCGATTTTTTTTTATGTTATGACAAATGAAGCGCAGCTGGATCTTGTTTCAGCGGGTGGCCGGAGTTTTGTGTCTGAAGATGCACGCAGCCGCAAGTAAAGTCACGATGAGTCTGGTGAACAGTTGGGGCGGCGAGAGTGACGCCCCAACAGGCCAACAGTTTTTTTTCTGTTCTCAAAAAGGCCCCAACAGCAACAGAGTCGGTCGGTCAGCTGGCAAAAGATGGAATGGAAATATCGAAGGCGCAGCGACGTGAAAACGGGCGCTGATTACTCTGGACAGAAGTACAACAGTGTTTTTCTCTCTTAATCAGAGGTCGGTCTCTTCTTCGCTCCTGTCAAGGAAAATTCGGCACCCGAAATTAGGTCGACGCGACGGCGACTCCATCGTCTGTCGACGAGTGCTGCGTGCGCCCGACTTGCAGGGGGAGGCGAAGACAAAATAGGCCCTGTGGCCAGAAAATTGTTTCGGTGAACGGAACAGAGAGCGGCTCGTCACCTCGAAACGGGCGTCATTACTGAAAACTAGAGCTGGTTAGGGATGATTAAACGTTTTTATTTAGTTCGCATATTAGCTTTGGTCAAAGTCAAGCTTTACAAACTTTAACCAAGTTTATATAAAAAATATTAAGATACTATTAAATGTACTTTTATATTGTATAGATTTATTATGATAAATGTCTATATTGTTTTCTATAAACTTGGTCAAACTTTACAAAGTTTGACTTCAGTTAACTCTAATATGCAGAGTAAATAAAAACGGAGGGAGTACCTGATAGCGACTGAACTCGAGCCGCATCGTAGAGTCTCACTAATCAAAGTACTCTTGGGTGCTGACTTTTTCTACCAACCTTGAAAACAGAGCCGGGCACACATGATTGTCAGAGTATATATTTTTTCACATCACGATAGATGGCATATGTTCACAAAAGTTTTGCACACAGTTAGACAACGGGAAATATGTATATTTTCAAAAGGGAAAAAATTGCCGTCTACTAATTTACTGTTCACCTCTGCCCTTTTCCCGTGCCTCTTTGATTCGAAGGATTTCAAAAACAAAGGATTACAATGTCATGGCTACACGAATCCTACAAGGTGGTTAATTTGATTTTTTAGCCAAGCTGTTGATTTGTTTTATTGCTTCTCAGGGAGAACAAAGGATGCGGTTTTTTATTTTTTATTTACATTTTTTATTGTTGATTAATTTTTTTCCGCAAAAGAAAAACAAAGGATGCGAATATGGTGGGAAGGTTCCCTCCCAGTGGATCTGGAAGCAAATGAACGTCCGCGTAGAGATGATCAAACACGCAGACAGGAACGTTCGTCCAAGACCCCTGCATGCTCCACACGCAGACATGAACGTTCGTCCAAGACCCCTGACTGAGAACCCCTACGTCTGAACCCAACCCCCTTTCCCATACCCCACCTTCTGGAGCAAAGGAACCCCTCATCTCTCCTCGCGATAACCACCTGATATTCTCCTTCCCTCTTCCTCTGCATCATCGAGATGGCAAAAATCAGCCGCCCAAAGCTTGTTCTCTCTGGAATCTACCATCGGCCACGAGAATTGATGTAAGCACGTACAACAGAAGAACAACCCCCCTCGATTCCCCTCTGAATCGCAAGAGAGAGAAAACCGCGTGCAAGATTTAGATGCAATTTCAGGGATTTGTCATGGCAAAGAACTGGATGGTGCTGAAGATATTATGTAGGTAGTGACGATTTGCCATGCGAAATCTCGCAATTTTGCCATGATTTTGAGGAAGAATATGGACTTTGCGTGGGGTGATGTGAAGGGAAGCAGAGCAATGGTATGTGGAAAATTGCTATGGGGAATATCACAGAAAAAAGATGAACTTTACAGGGGGAGAAGATAAAACTAGTGATTTTGAATCCCTCCCACAGATCCCCATAACCACACCATCTGAATGTCAAGCATTGAGTACTAGGAAACACACACAAAAAAAAGGCATAACTTGATATGATACGATTATGTTAAGCAATGCATTCATATAAAGTTGTCATGCATATATGTATGTATTTACCATGTAGAGGAATGCATGTCATGATGTGCTACTGAAAATGTTTTTGAAAATCTGATTGTTTGTGTTTGGGATAATATTTGCCATGGCAACAACTTGTGATTTGCCATGTAGTGGAATGTGAATATGCCATGTAGATTAATGTGTGAGTATTTGCCATGTTTGTGTTTGGACTGACATTTGCCATGGCATCAAAATGTGAGTTGCCAAAAAGTAGTGCAGTGTGAACATGATATGTAATTACATTTGAAAATTTCCTTGTGCATATGTATGTAGGTGCCATGTAGAAGAATGTATGGCATGATGTGCTGTTGAAAATGATTTTGAAAATCAGATTATCTTGGGTTTTTTGAAACTCACATTTGCCATCTAAGAAATAGTCATTTTTCTATACTGGCATATGGTAAATTATGGCAAACATATCATCAGTTGATATAGAAAATTTCATGACAAAAAATTAAAGAATTGCTAACTTGGAAAGATATAGTTAAGCCTAATTTGCCATTAAGCTCTTGTTTATAGCTGCCCACCATTGGTTCATTACACAAAACTAATTAAAATGCCATGAATTTGAAGAATTACCATGAACAAATGGATATAAACTCATGAAAATTTGCCATTTAGCTCTTGTTTATATCTGACTTGGCACTGCCAGGAAAGGGTGAACAAGCGGCAAGATGAAAAATCGAAGGCCCAACGACGAGGTCTAAGGGCATCTTCAACGCGGACCCTCAAACTGCCTGCATACATCCGGACCACGTGGTTCGGATGTGGTGTGCTATCCAGCGCGTGCCTGTATCGGTCCGCTTAGCGGTCCGCATGCACTTTTTCCCCGCAAACTGGAGACAAACTAGGGAGGCTTTGCGGGAGTCCGGACTGCAGGCACGATCACATTTGACTGCCCTGGCCCACCAAAAAACCTACTTCCTCGGCTGCGTGCGTTCCCGCCCGACGCTAGCTGCCCGCATTCATGCCACTGTAGAGCGGCCGCTCCGCATTGACGCTGGCCCAGAGCAGACACGACCTCTTACTAGCGGCGACATTGAAGCTGCTTGCCGGCCGAGAGAGCGCCGCCCGCCGCACGCCTGGCTGAACATGCCTCTTCGCCTCATTCAACCAGATTCAGACTGCCCCGCCTATCTTCATTGAACCCATGCGTGTGCTGAGAAATCTACTCTGGCCACATGTTCGTCCGCGAGCCTTCC